TAACAAATGGTACATTATTAAATATGAATATGAATCATTTTTTATCGTTTATTCAGTTAGGAATTGCTGTAGGATTTCTACTGCCACCAGTAATGGTACCTAATTCACCAGATATAGCTGAAGTAAGACAGGGACTAGAGATCATGTACTATAGTTGTGCTGCTTGTAGTACACTAATTGTTCTACTGATTATTATCTGTAAGTTGTACTGCGTTATTTCATGTGTGTAGTAAGTAATTGTGGGCAATTTGGTTGTTCTCGTCCAGAATACAAGTTAACTGTGTAGAATATGTAATATCAGTGAAATCGAAGCCGACAAACCTAGGTTGAACATTTTCTGCATCGCTAATGTCACGTCAATATCTGATGTACAATCTTTTTTAATAATTTTAATTCAATTGCTAGGTCTAGAATCTATTCCTTCGTATGCCTCGAATCTATGATTCGAATCGATATCCGTAAGTCTAGAATCTATTCCTTGACAGGTCGAGAATCTATCCCTTGGTAGGTCTTTAATCCATTCCTTGGTAGGTCTATAATCCATTCCTTGGTAGGTGTAGAATCCATTCCTAGGTAGATCTAAAATCTATTTCTTGACAGGTCGAGAATCTATCCCTTGGTAGGTCTTTAATTCATTCCTTGGTAGGTCTATAATCCATTCCTTGGTAGGTGTAGAATCCATTCCTAGGTAGATCTAAAATCTATTTCTTGATAGGTCTAGAATCTATTCCATGATAGGTCTAGAATCCATTCCTTGGTAGGTCTAGAATCCATTCCGTAGTGGGCATAGAATCTAGTCCATAGTAGGCCTAGACTCAATTCCTAGGTAGGTCTAGAATCTATTTCTTGATAGGCCTAGAATCTATTCCATGATAGGTCTAGAATACATTCCTTGGTAGGTGTAGAATCTATTTCTTGATAGGCCTAGAATATATTCCATGATAGGTCTAGAATCCATTCCTTGGTAGGTGTGAAATTCATTCCTTGGTAGGTCTATAATCCATTCCTTGGTAGGTGTAGAATCCATTCCTAGGTAGGTCTTAAATCTATTTCTTGATAGGTATAGAATCTATTCCATGATAGGTCTAGAATCCATTCCTTGGTAGGTCTAGAATCCATTCCATAGTGGGCATAGAATCTAGTCCATAGTAGGCCTAGACTCAATTCCTAGGTAGGTTAGAAACTATTCCTTGACAGGTCGAGAATCTATCCCTTGGTAGGTCTTTAATCCATTCCTTGGTAGGTCTATAATCCATTCCTAGGTAGGTCTAAAATCTATTTCTTGATAGGTCTAGAATCTATTCCATGATAGGTCTAGAATCAATTCCTTGGTAGGTCTAGAATCCATTCCATAGTGGGCATAGAATCTAGTCCATAGTAGGCCTAGACTCAATTCCTAGGTAGGTCTAGAATCTATTTCTTGATAGGCCTAGAATCTATTCCATGATAGGTCTAGAATACATTCCTTGGTAGGTCTAGAATCTATTTCTTGATAGGCCTAGAATATATTCCATGATAGGTCTAGAATCCATTCCTTGGTAGGTGTGAAATTTATTCCTTGGTAGGTCCACAATCCATTCCTTGGTAGGTGTAGAATCCATTCCTAGGTAGGTCTAAAATCTATTTCTTGATAGGTCTAGAATCTATTCCATGATAGGTCTAGAAACCATTCCTTGGTAGGTCTAGAATCCGTTTCTTGGTAGGTCTAGAATCTATTTCTTGATAGGTCTAAAATCTAGTCCATAGTAGGCCTAGAATCCATTCCTATGTAGGTCTAGAATCTATTTCTTGATAGGCCTATAATCTATTCCATGATAGGTCTAGAATCCATTCCTTGGTAGGTGTAAAATTCATTCCTTGGTAGGTCTATAATCTATTTCTTGATAGGTCTAGAATCTAGTCCATGGGTTTAGAATCCATTCCTTGGTATGTCTAGGATCTATTCCACGGTAGGTTTAGATTCTATTTATGATAGGTCTATAATCCATTCCATGGTAGGTGTAGAATCCATTCCTTGGTAGGTCTAGGATCTATTCCACGGTAGGTTTAGATTCTATTTCTTGGTAGGTTTAGATTCTGTTTCTTGGTAGGTCTATAATCCATTTCATGGTAGGTCTACAATCCATTCCTTGGCGGGTCTGCAATAAATTCCTTAGTAGATCAAGAATATATTCCTAGAATCTTAACATTAAAATATAATTGCATGGTATCAAATGGTTTAAGATTTGTACGTGCTTCATCGTTTTTTAGTTTTTAAGAAAGAACCATCCATTCCACCAAGCCATGCACAACTTTATCTAAAAGAGAAAACTGAAGATTATCATTATGGACGATCATTAAAGGAATTATTCAAGCAG